TTTCGCTTCCCCCCCCCAACCAGGTGAATCTATCAGCCACGGTGCCTATCGCAACTTTTTGCAGCTCAATGCCGCTAAGTTGTTCGCAGGGAAGACCGTCCTCCATTTGGCTGCCGGCCCGGGTCTCCTGACGATGTATCTGGCCAGTGCTCGACCGAAACGCATCTTTGCGGTGGAAGCCTCAAAAGACCTGGCAATGGCCATTCGGCAGGTGGCTGCGTATGTCTTTCCTCCGTTTTGCCCTTCTTTTATACTTCAAGAAAAAAACCTTATTCAAAACTGCGACCACGTGGTGTGGAGAATACAGATACAAGTTGGGAGTCCCTAGTAGTACTCAATTCCGCCTCTATTAGCTCAGACCAAGTTTTTTTTATTGAAAAAAGATCGTGAGAGTGCTGTTCGAGCGGATTCAGACTCACTGCAGCCGGCCGAGGGAAGGGTACGCGAGGCCCGATATCTGTGTAGTCTGAGTAGTCATGAGTAAAGCAGAAGGCTGGTCGGGCACCGGAACAGTTTGTTTCCTGTTCTGAGATTTCAAACTCGTGCAGGAGTTCATCGTAAGAAATAGCAGAGCAAGTACTTAATAAGAAGGATCTGCAGTACACACTTTCATTTGTATCAATGCTCAACATTCGCAGGCAGAGAGAGAGAGATGGGGAGATACATTTTATTATTTAAATGTCATTCCAAACTTTTCAGCAAAGGTGTCCTCCATTCACCATGACTAAAATGAAGCACAGAAACCACACAACACCGGGAAATCACAAACCATTGGTAATAACTAAATACCGCAATTGTCGACATCGTGGAGAAATGTCCTTGAATTTGTCGCAAAATGTAGACGATTTTGGACTTCTTCAAATCACCGCTAGTGCCGTGCACTGATGACCTCATTGTTATAATTAAAATAAACAAAAAGCGGCAAAAATCGGTTTATAACGAGTGTGCTAGGCTAACTGATGTAAATATATAAGAAAATTTACATGAGAATGAAAGGAAGTAAAACTAGCGGCCCGCTTCAAGAGCCCACTGGTATTCACTCGCTGCCCAGATGTCTTCGATTCCTAAGTAGTATGCCTCTTTAAATTTTGCTACTTAATCCTCAATTAAGTACCCATCTCTGTTTGTAAAATAGGAGCTTAAAAGGGCATGCAAGTAGAGCTCTGAGTCTGGTAAATGACAATAGCATTCACATTGAATGGACCTGAATGAACCTTCATATTATTTACTTCGCCTTCCCCCCCCTCCACCATAGATCAAACGAAGTCGAGAAGTGCGTTGAGGTCTGCGAAGGCAGGGTGAATGAACTGCAGAAGTCATCCTATCGAGGCAGCGAGCTCGACAGTGCGCACCCGGACGATTCCTTGGTCAAACTCAATAACGAGAAGGTTAGTCTGACTGTGCTTGACGTTCCTCCTCAAGGCGTTTAGCTTCACTTGTTGCAATGTATGCATCTGCGTTGCCTACTTCTAGTTGCGCACTTACATTTTGTTCTTGTTTTTGAACGTGCCCACGGTCTCCGAATCTGTCGTGCAACTTCTATGCCGAAATATGGGCTTAACCTAATTATTTACTCATGC